ATCGTCCATCGTCCCAAAAATAATTTTCCTTTTGTTTTACAGCAGCACCATCAGGCAAATTTACAGAAGAGTTCTGCGCCAGGACTTGAACACAACTGCCTAAAGCTGGTGCACACAGCATCCATTTTACAAGCTGTGTATAATCGAGACACTTATTTCATGTATTTTTTATTTATTTTAAATCCCCGTTTACACTGAATGACTTGTAGATCACTCACAACAAGCTAAAGCAGAACCAAGGCAGAACACCAGACCGTCGTCTCTCTTCAGGGATTCAAAGGATTCTTTCATGACGGTCAGACTCAGAAGTCTTTCTTGGAAATCTCGGCCTTGATGAAATGAGAGCGAGTGCAGCTGAGAGCTACTAACACAGGTGCAAAGTAAAGTTTACCCTAACCCTGGAAACACTAAGAACACAGAACAATAGAGGATGATTCTGTTCATCTCAGGACCACATTTATTTTCAGCATATTTGAATATGAAATGTTTAATGAAGGATTCCCACAATGCACAGAGTGCAAAGCGCTGCTGCTGCTTTGACTTCTGTCATGAGCTTCTTTCTTTCCATTACAACTTCAAAGTTTTATCGACAGTGTTTGCTTTCATATCGTTGTTTTTGGCAGTAAGAGGCCATTTTCAGCAAAAACACTATATTGGGGTGTGTAGCAGGAAAAGAGCCAGATGTTTACCTCAGCTGAGACCTCAAACAGAGCAGAAAGGCTGTAATAAGGCCAAATAAGTATCTCAGAAGTCTGTCAGATTCATTTAAAACATCATTTCAGGAAATTTGCTTCCCTGAAGTTGACAAGAAGTCTGTTTAAGAGAAAGATGTAGTAATGATGATTATTTTTCACACATACAGCAGTGAGAGATGGGGACAGTTCACCTGAGGAGGAAGCACAGCAGAACTGGAATCATCATCTGGTTCCTTACATAGTAGAACAGGCAGTAAACGGACAAGCTGGACTCACATGAAGTCCTGAATCAGGACTAAAGAGAACCAGACTCAGGAAACTGAACTGATGAAATGGGGGGACTGGGGTTCTGAAACTGGTCATATCACAGAACCAGAGTGAGCAGAACAATCCAACACAGCAGAACCACACAAAGCATCAAGGACAGAGACACACCGTCCTGTGAAGCTGTTTTGCTCAGAAACCAGAATTCTACAAGTTCCCAAACAGCTCATTCATTTCTATCAGAGACAGTTTAATGGCATGCCCCCTAGTGGACATTTGTTTCATCAGCATCCAAATGATCTTCACATACGTAGTTTACGTAAACAAAGGTAATATAACACATGTAAACAAAGCATTAGGAATAACATTCAGGTTGCATTCGATGACTTTTATTACAGACGAGTCACTATGATGATGATGATGATGATGATGATTATTACTTTATAGCCAAAGCTGGCGTATGTGCACATTGGGGGGGGTTGTATTTGCTGCTGGAAGTGTGTTTTGTGTTTTAAACTTGTATTAACTTAGATCACACTGAGATAACTTGTTGTTAACCTTAAAAGAACACTTGGGAACCTCAAAGGAAGGTGAACACCTCTTAAAGGCAGGAGAACGCTCTGCTCGGTGGGTTTCATCCCATCGTACTCTGTCCTGGTGATCCCAGTGTGGGCTCAGCATCAGTGTCTTTGAACGTAGATTAATGATCAAATTCAAAGTGAACAATCACATGCAAAGACGCTACAAAGGCAGACGAGCCTGGAGCTCCTTTCATATGCAGTTCCTCTGAGTCTTCATGAATCCAAAGCAGTGCACACACGCTCCTCAGCAGCCTCCCATAATTCTGACGCTAATTCTGTGATTCTCACAGAGCGAGCGCCGTGACGTGTTGCTGGCTGCGCTTTAGGTGCTGCGCTGTGAACAAGGACTTGGGTTTTGCTCTGGTCTCAATACGTCCGTTCCTGTTACACTTTGTTTGCTTGGATGTGCGGACCGTCCTGCTCTGCAGCCCAGCGTGCTGCATGAACGACTGAATGGCTGTGTTCGCTTGTCAGCTGAAAGAGACGTTTAGACTGAACTTAAAGACACGAAGCTGAGGTGGTCCGGCAGCATCAGAGCACAAGAACAGCACGGAACCAGGACACCAGCAGTGAAATCATCGCTCCAAACACTGTCCTTTGGTCTTCACTCATACATCATATATGCATTCTCACAGTGTTTTCCACTTA